CCCGCTGCACCTTGCGGAAGTACAGGAGCTTCTCCTTACCCTTCTCTTCGGACTTCGCCTGTGCAAAACTCAAGGCTCTTAGCTGGTGGATGTGCGAGGCGCAATGTTACCAAAGACGCGCTGCTCTTTTTGGGGAACGGTTGCATATGCTCAACAACTGGTGTGGCGGATGCTGGTGAAGGTTTCATTGGGCCAATCTCCATATTCATCCAACTTGTAGTAGTGATGTGGAAGTGGATTGCAAAGCATTTCCACCCGAGGAAAACATGTAAACATGTGTAAACCAAAAAAACTTTACTAAAAAAAACACATCTAGACTGTATGTGTATATATATATAATTATATATACCTTGAGTCTCCAATGACCCTTTTAAATTAGCCTTTCCAAGAAAAAGAGGTTTCTGAAAGAAAGCACTCTTTTTTGCATATGTCACGAAATGTTCATTTTTTGCTTGTGCCCTGACAGATCCTCCTTAGACAGTGTCCTGAGACCTTTTTTCGGCGTCCAGAACGCGTCTTTAAGCGTCCGCACCGGACATGTCGGGATGAAGATTCACTCTGTACCTTTTCTATGGGTCTTCATCTCCGAAACGCGTTTTTCGAGCAAAAACGCACAAATGTTAGACCAAAAACAACAACGCAGAAAACAACAAGGTCTTTGGAGACTCAAGGTATGTATATATATATATACGAGTGTTTAGGTCGTGAAGTGCTGCTACTGCTATGGCCCATTCCTACTGCTTTCATTCCGACTGAACCCCCACGGAGTCTCCACCCCAACGCCCTGACGCACGGCCCGGAGTCACCTTCGCCGCGGCCTGGGACGCGGTCTCGTCTAACTTCTGCTGCACCTGGCAGGCCACGGCCACCGCGCGTGGAGACCGAGACCCGCACGGTGTGAACCGGGTGAACTGGGTGAACCAAGGGGGGGCTTGCTCACGCCAAGGGGGGTCCTGTTGTGACACACGAGAGCGAAGGTCCGACCCAAAATGGGGACGGTAGCTCCCATGGATCCGAGTCTCAAAGCTGCTGTCACAAGGCCTACGTGTGGGTATATTTACATGATATGAACACATGTATAATCCCAGACACGACTAATGGGACTGCCATATATGCCTACATTGACCCCCAAAACCACCCCAATGTAGGCAGATATGGCATACATGGAGTGTCTGGGTATATATATATATTATATATACATGTATGATCATGAATGTATGTTCCAAATAATGTTGGATCCTGATTAGTAAAGGGGGGTCCCCCCCCCCCTCAAACAAATAGGGGTCCCTCTATAATAAACTATCACCAAAACAAATCTGGATTCCTGGTGAGGGATCTTTTGTAATTGATTGTGGTATTCATTATCCTTTTGCTTTGCAGCCTCAGATCTTCAGCTCAAGAGAAGCCCCAAGCTTTCAGCTTCTTCCTCAGCTTCCATGGCTTCCTAAGTAAAGGAAGATTCCATGAGCAATTTTTCCAGTGGAAAAAACTTTTCACAATTGAGGACCCAAAAGCAAATTTATTATTGAGGATCAGGTGCCTTCCTGGTCTACTACCTTCAAAATTTGTTTAGGAGCAATGTTTTATAAAGGGTTTAATTGGGGAATTGGTGGTTTTGGTCAGCTGTCAGTTTTGAAGAAACCTAGAGAAAGCTATATCAGCTAATGAATCATAATCATTGGCCTCAGAAGGAATTCAAACCCTTATTAAATAGGTTCCCAATATAAAAAAAAATTAGGGCCCCCAAAAAAGTTAGCATTATTCAGGAACCATTTTTCAAACATGGGGTCTGGAATAATTTTGGAAAAATTTAGCATTATAGAGGGCCCATTTACTAATCAGCATCCAACATTAGTGTAAATATAATCGTGCGTGTGCGTATGCTACATGCTGCCAGTTCGACCTAAGGCCACCCGAGGCCAACCCTCGGTGAAAGCTTCCTGAGAAAAGCCTGTGACCGGTGGTGGCCGCTAGGATTTGGACACCAAGGCACTGCAGCGGGGAAGGTGCAGCCTGGATCCGGAAGGATGTGACCCCATCCTTGCCACCTGCGCAGGCGGATGGTCCGTGTGGTGCCATGGGGTGCCTGGGCCCCGATAGCGAGCGCTTCTTCAAGGCAGCTTCCCCCGCCGCCTTTAGGGCGGTGGGGGAAGCTTTCTTGAAGGAGCATGAGCTATCCTGCGTCCTGTTGGTAGTAGCTTAAGTAAGGTACTAGTTACCTCTTCTACTAGCTACCTACCTCTAGCTACTACTAGCTACCTCCAGCGGCCTTCCCCTCCTAAAAAAGGAATTGTGATTAGATGTTATTAGTCTACTCTTTTGAGCATGCTAAAAAGTCTGGAGACAGTTCTTGGTGAGTGAAAGTGTGCTCCTGCGGAAGAACCCAAATGAAGATGCCAAGTTGGTTTATAAACGATTGGCTCTAGACCCTCTAGAGCCATTTGCCTCACCAATCTCTGTGCGTGGAAAGAATTTGGGTCCACGAAGAAGCTGAGCAGGACTGGGATGTCATGTCAACATAGTTGTTAAGTGGAAACCACTCCCAAACTTTTGGAGTGCGTGCAAGCACGAGCACGCCCCCTTTTACAAGTCCGACATCCATCTACAACCCCAACGGGCCCCAACGTTCTATCCCGCAATCGGTGCCCAAGATGCCTGTGCCACCACTGGATGACCCCAGAGTACCTCTGGCCTCATATCTGCCGGCAGCACCAACCGAAGGCCCTCTTCCTACAGAACATCCAGGCAGCCTGACTGCACAAAGCCTAAGGAACTCCCAACAATTCCGGCAACAAACCGCAATCCACGCAGGTTGTAACACAACCAATTGCAGTGCGGCCACTACAGAAGCCACACAATTGCGGAATGGTCATACTGAAGGCTTTGATGCATCTGCGTGTCTGGAATCTTTATTTTTGTTTTTCGATAACTATATCGGCCGCGAGCTGGAAATCCTCCAAAATATTTGACAATTGATATCGATATGCCCCTCAGAAACCCTGCTCCAATAAGTAGTCAAACAAACAACATCTATATAACAAACCTTGGCTCCCTGAATAAACCAGCACTTGGGAATTGAGACATTCATGTCTTGTCTCTTGTGGATGCTATGGCATCTATCGTGGCCCAATACAAAAAGGATCCCCTCAATTGGGGTAGCTGGGTTGTCTCGTCAATCACTCAACAAAAAAACATGTGGTACAAACATGCGCACACCTACTTGAATAGCAATGGCCTCCAACCTCATCTCCTACTTCACTATTCAAGGGGGACTGGTATGAGCTGGTCTTACAGAATGTCCACTCCATCCACAAAGCCATCATTGGAGGAAGTGCACATGGGCACCAAAACACGTCTGAAAACCAAACAACAACAACAACAACAACAACAGCAACAGCTTAAACGACTACTTAAGCATTAACAGCATCAGCTTGAACAACAACAACAACAGCCTAAACAAGGAAAACACACTAACAACAGCAGCTTAAACAACAACTTAAACATGAACAACAACAGCTTAAACAACAACTTAAACATTAAAAACAACAACTTGAGCAACAACTTAAACATGAAAAAGCAACAACAGCTTAAACAACAACTTAAATGTTCAGAACAAATCAGAACAACAACTTAAACATTGACAACAACAGCGCACCCCAAATCGCTGGTGCCTTCTGAGGCCCCAAACCGGCACCTTCCTCCTGCCGGTGCTCAATGGCCTCCTGTGTGATCGGAGTTCCTCCTGTGATGCGGACGGCTCACGACGGGCTCCACGACGTGGGCGGACGGCTGCGTACGACGGCACGACGTACGCTCACATGGTTTTTGATATTGATTCGCTTCAGTAGCCACTAGTCAGCTCTCAGCAAAAAGAACAGCATCTTAGGGCATCTCACACCCACTTTGGGACCCCCTGGACCGTTTTTTTTTTTTACTTGTGCCATACCCAATGGGGCGCACGTTGTCACGTTGCCAACCATACCTGCGCGCCACGGTGGAAATCACCCGGCCGACTGACCGGTCCGGACCTGGCAATGTGACGTTGTAGGCCATGAACTCGCCATTCCTTGGAGAAGCGTCGACGACGCTCTCCGAGAAGCGTCACACGCCGCGCCTTCCCACCGGGCGGTCCGGGCGGAGTCGTGGTGAGGGCGTTTCGGGAGGTCGGAGATGGTCGGAGTGTTGTCCAAGCGGCTTGCCCTTGATGATGCCGAACTCGATTGCCAGCCTGGGAAGATATGGGAAGAACTATGGAGAACTACCATTCCAGCCGTCGACCTGGGACTTGTTCAAAAGGGAAGTGCAGTGAACTTGCCAACAGAAAGAGATGCATGCAACTATAATCCAACATGCTGCATGCTGTGTCTTAAGCAACAAACTACGGGAACTACAGCTTGCAAGAAGACTATTATATATTTGTGTCTGCATGTAGCAGCTCTGACCTTGACATTTCAGCAGCTGAGCTAGCTTCGGGTTTTGACTCTGACAAGTATTTACTATGGTTCCTCGTATACTTGAAACCAAGAAGCTTCGTCAATCCAAGAAGCTTATCAATTCTCATCCTCAAGGACTTTCCGCCAGTGTTCAATTCAACCAGGTCCACCTGGTCTGGTCTCACTTCGATCGTCATTCCGAGAGTTTTTCTTCCAGATGCACCAGGGAAGAAGGATCTCCAAACGGGCGCAGGGATCGTCGAAGCCGGCGGGTCGGTGACCGAAGAGAACGGCGCCGACAACCGGTGACGGTGCTCGTTTCGGTGCACCGAATGGCTTTCAAGATCCAGATCGAAGGGTGGGGTACACTCAATAAGAAGAGCATGTTGTTGAGACCATCTGAGACGTTGAACAAGCGAACGAAACCACGGTACGAGTAGTGCAGTGAACAAGCGAAACATGTGAAACAGGTCGGTTCTACTTGGCATTCGAAGAAAACACGAGATTCCCACAAGACTTGGACAAAAGCATGTCAATACCTGCTGGCGTTTGAGGCAATTTTTCTTTCGGTGAATGGTCGTTGGCACTGGTGGCTGATCTAGAAATCCAAGGTAAATGGAACATCATCTCGGCCCATCTCCTGGTTCACTAAGGAGATATTGGACCATATTTGGCTAAAGGCAACTGCTGGGTGCGGAGCATAGAACCACTCGCGGACATATTTCCCTGGCAACTGCACCCACAAGGTGCTACTCCGGTAACATAAGAACTCGTCCTGTGGCAGCTTTATCCCCAAGCCTGATTCCATAATTGGCGCGACAGACTCGTGGACAAAGATCGCATCAAGCGGCGTCAAGCGTAACAAATGATAGCCAAAAGGCTTGAACTTATGTAGTGCATAGCTCAAGGAGCAGCCAGCTGCAGGGTTCAATCTGTCAATGTCATAGTCATCGTTCCAGTGAGGTGACTTCTCGGAATCCCAATGCATTGAATATCGAAATGGAGGTGGGACATGGAAGGCGATCTCCAGCTGCATCACCTTGGGTCGCACCAGCTGCATCAGCTCCTCGGCCACCAGGCAATCCACACCATCAATGTCCACCACCAAAAAGTCCAGGGGCCACGGTGGCAGCGCCTCTGGAAACATTGGACCCAGGAAAGGGAGCAGTCGATGAACTGCATTAACTGGGTTCAAAGACAGGTGCACAGGCACAACAGTGGCAGAAGTACTGGCCATCTCGAGCTCACAGCTCTTCAGCCTAGTGGCATCCCCTTCCACAGCGAGCCCCAGGAAGCCATGCCCTTCAGAAGACGCCAAAAGTTGATATAAAGGATCTGGAGGTAAGCAGGTGCCAGCTCCAATGTTGACAAAGGTCCTCGTGATCTGCATATTGCCTCTCAGGATGACCGCCAACGGCCACAAGACGGCTGACCCATCCAGCATAGCCCTTTCGCCGTTCATTTCGATGGAGTCGGAAGGGCACAAAACGTCGGGAGGATGCCAACCTAAAGCCCAACGGCTTCTGCTGGCATTGAAGTTCGCCTCATTAACTTTCTCTTCTGGCAAAAGCTGCTCAAAAATTGATAGCTCCGCGGGAGACAGCAAAGGTGTGTTGCGCGTGTACGCGTTGTACAAAATCTCCCTGTCAGCTGAGACGCCAGCCTTGCAGCAGTGTGCTGCCATGTCTGCAATTATCCAACATCGACGAGGAGGCACGGGCGTTCCTGGCCAATTGCAGCACCATTGCGGGCGCCGACTGTCCGACCAGCAGGAGATATACACCTCAAGTCGAGCACCATTTCGAGAAAGGCGGTAGCTGTCGCCATCGAAGCCTTCAATATGCAGCTCGCGTGGTCGAAGGGCTGGATCCAGATCTACATATTCTGCATAGCCCTGCAGGCGGCCAAAAAAGTGGAACTCATTTCCTGAGCCACGCAGCCGCTCTCCAACGCTACCATTGGCAAAGGAGTCTCCACTTTGCATGCAAAGACTAGACTTCCCCCGCCAGCAAGCAAACATCGGATGGAATTGCCAGACATCGCAAGATGCGTCACTGCAGCAAGCTTTCCTACAAGCATCTGCCCCCATGTCCAGTGGCATGCCATCCTTCTCAAGCCCTAAACACTGGAGACCATCGAGCTTCTCGGAAGCTGAACAGGTTGCAGCACTCACCGCAACCGCTGACAGGTGCAGCATGCTCAAAGCTAGGACGACAGGGCTGGCCCAAATCCTTGAAACACGAGTGCAACATAGTGCCATGAGATGCTGTGAGTGCCAAGGTGCTTGAGCCAGCCACGGAACGCTCACTCATGACTCATCACAAGTCCTTGTTAGCCCTTGGCCCTTGACATCCAAGAATCACACAGAACTCTGCATGAAAAGTGCGGTACCGACCTGGTCGCGGCACGCTAGCATCGCACACTCGACTCTCAGCTCTGCTCCGACTCAGCTCCACATCGGGGCAGTCAAAAACTGGACGCACTCACCTTAATCTCCTTCGGCACAGGGTCTTCCATGGCAAAGCCATCATCTATACTGACCTCGGTCATTTCTGAGCGTCTTCTTGGCTTGGTGCTCTCATCTTTCAGTATAGTAGATAGTTATAATATATTGTAATTACATGTAATTACAGTAGATGATTCTAGTCCGCAGCTGGAGTTCAGAGGCTAATTTTGTGTGATGACTGTCCAAAGTGCATAGAATCAAACGCCCATTGTCCCATTGTGCAAGTGGGTAAGTATCCCGTGTCAAATCTGGTCTTCCATGTGCATTGTCATGAGCATCCCAAAATCGGGCCACGTGTGCGTGACGATCGTCATGAAAATACCCTCTTGCGTCTTGCACACAACGACTTGCCTGGGGAAGGAGCTCGAACACCAGCTCAAAACTCACAAAAGAAATCTGCAGAGCAAAATGGGCTCCCAACCCATCCGAAGCCGCGGAACTGGTCGAAGAATCTGGCCGAACAAGTCACGAAAAGTTGCCTTTCGTGGCACGCTTCAAAAAGAACAGCTGTCTATCAAATCCACGGGGGAGTAACTCTGCTTCCAGGGAATCTTCCACTTCGCTTCCCCGAAGTCAATTTCGGATGCTTCGGTGGAGTCCATATACCTTGTGTCCAAGGTCGGCAGAGCCACTCTGCGAAGGGCGCAAATCTCATCTGTCTCTTTGGTCATGACTAGGTGATTAGGCTCTCACAGTGGGAGATGCTACTTCTATAGTGGACTACTGTAGCATCACAGTTTAACGTCTTGGTTGGCGTCCCATTCTAATTACGAGTAGTGTCAAGTAGTAGGTGAAATATATACTGAGAAAATACTTGAAGCCCTTGAATGATGTTGGTTGAAATGGCCTTCTTGTAAAAGGGTGGAAGTCATGTCCCACGGAGTGTCTGGGGCCTGTGTCAACAAAAAGCTACTTCGCGCTCAAAGCTAAGCTAAGCCAGAATTTCTTCGAACATGAACCTTGGCCTCTGTTTTTCCTATTTCTTCACTCTCGTGTCTGTTCAATCGCACTTGGGCCGCAATTCACCACGAAACCAGGACAAAACAGGCCAACAATAGCAACTCGAAAATCTCGAAAGCAGTCTTCAAGGGACAAATCAAACATCAAAAACAAAAACTGTCCGGCTTTCATACAAACATCATAAAACACCGTCACGTTCTTCCCGAGGCTCCCGGCTTCACTGTGCCCGTATAGCGAAAATTCTGTGCGCCGACGAACCTCAGTCATGAGAGGCCCTCTGTGACGGAAAACGATTGAAAAAAGGGGAATGTGTACAGGAACCGGATAAAAATAACCCAGTTCACCCACCTACCTACTCCCCCACCCACCCTGGAAAGAGATGGAACAAGACTTCACGGGCTCGTTCTTGTCCTCGAAGACTTGGTTGTTGGTCTTTGGGTCACTCTTTCGATCATTAGGGGGAGAGTGACCGAATGTGTGACCAGGCTACCACCAATGAAAAAGCGTCCATCATACCCGCATGGTCGACTGCACTCCATGAGAGCAGTCCTTTCTTGCGGCTGAGCAGTCCTTGCTCGCCTCCGGACTAGTCTTTGGGGAGAGGCGGAAGTGGATCTGTGAAGCCTGGGCAGGCTGCCTCGGCACCCTCCGTCTGTTGGATTTCGTGTGCACATGCCATTACCCGAAGAGAAAACGGTGAAGAGAAGGCTGCTCTCGAACCTTTGGTCCACACGTTCATGGGTCATGGGTCATGAAGATCCAGCAGTGTTGGATCATAGTGTTAGTCGGATTTGGTTGCTCTTGCCCATGAAGGAGAAGACAACACATGGATGACCGGTCTTTGAGTGAAGGCCCTGAGACGACTCATCCTCCATCATCCCCTTCAGTTTCAAGCCCTTGTCCACTGGGCCTCAGGGTTTGCCCAAATCCTTCTCCCTGCGGGGGCTAGAGTGCCACACCACAATGGTTTTCCATATTCTAGGATCTGATTGAGACTCTTCCATTGGGATCTTTAGCAGTTGGGTAGTGTTTTGAGCACTGGCCATGCAAACAACCAGCATCATTCATGCATTTGGATGCATTTGGCAGAACATTGCCTGGTTTTTGGGACCTCTCCATCATGCTCAAAGTCTGAAAAACAAGTCATAAACCCTGCCTGAAACAATCATGGAAGTGGACCATAGGCCCCCCTGGAAGACAACTTTCCTCTGCAACAAGGGAGGGTCTGCTCAGCTTCCATCATTGTCTGAGGGAGGGTAGGCATTAAATTGTTGAAATTCCATTCAAAATTCAAACTATATAGTATAAAGCAATGTAACAGTGTATTTATTTATATATAGTGTAAAAGGAATTCGGTCTGCCACTGGCCAGTCTCACCTTCCATGGCTATGTCGGTCCTTCAACTTGCGCTTGCAGTCCAGTCGCTGCATGCTTTCAGCGTCCATGGCATCTTGGATGTTCACCAGGCCTGGCCCGTCGCTGCAAAGGTCATACCTTGGTCTAGGGTGGGATACTCCTATACTCCCACAAGATCAAAAAGCAAGACCTGAATCCTGCAAATGAACGGGGTTGAACGTCGTTCCATGTCGTTGCTGCCTATTTGGGAGTGAACACCCCCATGCATCGCTCTTGCCAGCAAAGGTGATAGCTACGATCAAAAAGTGACCGTCTGAAGCCTCAAAGCAAAAACATGTTTCTCGCTTGGACGGATGCGTTTGGATGGACGTTGAGAACGTCGATCTGGAGCCTCCTCCTGGAAGAGTCACAGTCTTGGCTTTCAAACATCTCACTCTGCTCCAACCCTTCCTGCCGCGCGAGCAAGTTGAACCGAACCATGCTCAAATGCGGAGGTGTCCTCTTTTTGGTCGGGACTGACTACGATTTGGGGTAAGTGGCTGTGATTGTGAGAGAACGTCATCGAGCAAAGGAGAGATGGGACATAGAATGAGCACCTTTGCAAACCTAACATGTATCAACTAAAACAAATCCCACATTCTGTCTCTCTACTGCTCTCCCGAACTGACAATTGTAAAAATGCAAACCAATATAGGATTAAGAAACCTCCCTTAGTTAATCAGAGCCTACAAAGCCTCGTTAATCATACGTAGTATTGGTGGCTATATTCCTCAATCACTTAGTTGGGCACCAGAACCCCCCCCCAGTTAATCCGAACCCCCAACATAACCAGGCGAATTTTTCTGTTACTGTTACTATTACTGTCATTATTGCTGCTACTGCTACTACTGCTACTACTAGTGCTACTGCTACTGCTACCGCTACTACTGCTTTTACTACGGGCTTTCTACCTATGTTTCATAAAATGTCTAGGGTTCAGGCCCTCTAAATTCCCTTTTCAAAAACAATCATTTGAGAAGCTCACAGAGGGTACCCCTCACAAGGGCTCGTCCCCCTCAATAGTCCGCACCACTACTCCCTATTAATTTGATCCTGTGTCCCTGGCCTTTTGTTTGTGCTTGTTTAAACCTATTGTGACTACTACTGCCACTACCACTACTGCTGCTGCTGCTGCTGCTGCTGCGACTACCACTACTGCCGCTGCTGCTGCTACTGCTGCTACTACTATACTACTGCGACTGCGACGACGACGCCGACGCCGACGCCTACTCCCACTCCGACTCCGACTCCTCCTCCTACTACTACTACGACTACTACTACTACTACTACCAGTACTGCTACTACCGCTACAGCTACCGCTACCACTACCACTACCGCTACCGCTACTCCTACTACTACTTCTACTACTTACTACTTACTGCCTACTACCTACTACCTAGTACCTACTACCTACTTACTACATACTACTTACTACTACCTACTACCTAAAACCTACGTTACTACCTACTACGTACTGCTGCTGCTGCTGCTGCTGCTCCTGCTCCTGCTACTACTACTACTACTACCACCACCACTACGACTACTCACTTAGCAGATTATGGGCCTCATGAATGGTACCTCAGACCTTCTAGACCTTCTAAGATTCTAGACCTTCCACGTGGGGGGCGAATCCGGTCTTCGCATTACTAACAAATGCATGCGGCTGCATGCGTGAATAGTAAGGCACGCTAGAAGCACCGCTATCTTTACTTCCATGAGAGTCCGTTACAATCGGTCAATGCCCCTCACATGCTGCTCATGTTTCGCACCTGCTGCGCGAAGAAAAAGAAAAGACCATGAAGACCCAAAAGCCCAATGAATGACATAACATCACTGCCAGCGACTTTCTTTGCACACCAACTTGGTCGTGCTACACATGCTCCGCTTCTCGAATTGGCCCGTCTTTCGTTCGAAACCGAGCGGCCAGTCGTTGGTGATCATGAGGCCAAACTCCACCCTCAGATGCTGAGGCTTTTGACCAAGGTACCCGAGAGTGCCATGCCCATGTTTGTTGGTACAAGTACTATGCCCCGGATTTTTGGTGGTCTTCTCTTCAGATTCATTCTATAAGTCCAAGTCTGGGAGAGAGTGCACGAATTCTGACTAGTGGAGCACTTCTGGTTGCAACTTGAGCGTGAAGAGCGAAGTAATTGTGTCCGGTGAATCTTGGAAAGAAATTGAGATCTCATGAGATCTCTATAGTAGGAGTATGTAGGAGTCCTGGAGTAATGGAAACACGATTCAAATCCAACCCTAAGGCATCGGCCTGGACACTGGTTTCCCCAGGGAATTCCAGCTAAAGACTCGTTTTCTCCAAGGCGGCGGGACACTCAAAGTCGGGGGTGCAAGAAGCATTGCGGACCGAGTCGACCAGTCAAACGGACCGAGTGGAAAGCGGTCAAACAATCAAAACATATGAAAACCACATTTTGTGCGATAGACAATAGGGAAACCATTGGACGACCGTGTTCCCCATCAGAGTGCATGAACATCAACATCCTGGCCATAGTTATTACAGTATGTTCGATTCATTAGAATCCAAATTTTGTTGCCAGGTTAATATTCCAGTCCAGCTCCCCCATTCACTTCTCAGGGAAGATCACCAAGCGTCTGCAGGCCTTGCTGTAAGCGGGGAAATCGGTCGTCGGTCTGGATATTTTTCCAGTGCACAAAGACTTTGTCCTCGGCTCGTCACACTGGCCGGCGGCCCCCAACAATGGACAATGGAACATGACTAGGCAATCGGACGCCTGACTAACCGTGCTGGTCAACTGGGGTCACGGACAAATTCTACATTTAATGTGCTCCTGCAGCCTTTGCCAAACCAACGAGTGAAGATCAGAAATCAATCTGATTCCAAATGGACCTCCACCTGCCGTCTACCCAGCCACTCTAGGGCCTTCGGGGCGGATTGATGGAAAAAAAGAGCTGCTGGACCACCTTTCAACTCCCATCCCACCAAGAAGCTCCAGGGACGACACCCTGCCGGCGGGACTACTGTGGCTGTGGAAGTTTCACCGCCCTAACGTCGCTTCAGGGGTTCCCCTGGCTCGTACGTTCTCATCGATTCCAAAAGGAGCTCCACTCGGAAGGTGTGCTATGTATACTCCAATCAGTCAACAGGTTTCGACTGTAAAAGAGGGAGCAGCAATACTCGATCAAAAGCTCGGGCACGCAGAGCCAACCCCCCCCCAAAAGCTGTAATCTTTCTTTCTCAAGGACAACAGGTGTAAAGCTCTAAGCCATGTTCATGGCCATCGCTGGGTGTGTTTATTCCGCTGAACAGCTCATGGAGGCCGTTTTCGCCGAGTCTAACACACTCGGTGAACATGCACCAATTGTTGGTGGAACCCAAAGTGGTGGAACCACCCTGCCCGGGGGAGTTCCACCAAGTCAGGCTCTAGAAGATTCTGCCCTGGGAACCCTTCGTTGCATTTTCCATCTTTCTCCTGCACAAGGATCGGGTCAAACATGGGACATACAGTCAAACATATCATTCCGATGTTGATCTTCACAGGATCCAATGGTTTCTTTTTGGGTTTTCGGGTTCTCTTTTGCTGCACTCCATCCTCGAATTGAACCTTCGAACCCTCTCACTGTGGCCGCGCTTCGTTGTTGTTTCGGCCGCGCTTCGCATCGCCCCAAAACCCGACGTACAACGAACGTCCCCTAAAGCGTCCCGTCGGCGTCGCCAGCCTTCTCGTCCATGGTGATGTGCCCAAAACCTCTCCATTTGTTGAAGTCTATGACCTCATTTTGTGCGTTTGAAAACCACCACTTGATACGGTGTCCGTCCCGCGGTCGCGGGTCCCACGCACAAGAGTGCGTGTTTTAGATGATGCAACTTTGGCCTTTGAGACGATCATTTAATGGGTTCAGCACTGGTTTTTGCAATGTCTGGAGCTTAAATAAGCTAGCGAAAGGGATAGAAGATGATAGAAGTGATAAAGGAAATGGAAAGCCTCCCTCATGGAACTGTAGAAACCACAAATTGTTTGTAAACGTCCCAACAAATCATGTCCCACACCTATGTGGCTGTGGGTCAAAGCTGCCACCCAGCGGCTGAGCCCGTATAGCGGGCATCCTGGCGTCAAGCCGCTGCACACTTGGGCTTTTTAATACGAACCGTCGTCTGCCAAGAGCCCAGCTACTCCCCACTGGTAGTGACTCTATGCAACTCTTGCCGTGCTTGCATCGACCTATTTTGATCTTTTTCATCGACCCTCGAGACCACCCAATATCCAATATCTCCATATATCTAGTATGTCTAGTGGATCAGGCCAAAACAGGTTGCGACGTGTGGACATGGATAACTGCTAAGTTAGGTCCCTGCACATGCAGCCCTCGAGCCTTGTCCACTGTGAAGTCATCCGGCAGCACACTGGGGGCTGACGCCGGCGTGGCCGCGGCCTTCGCGTCGCCTGCGTGCGGAAGCCCAGTCGAATATTGTAGGAAGCCCAGGCAGCCCAGGCACCAAATAAAGAGGAAAAGCTTCAATTATTGAAAAGGAACCCGTTGTTGTAAGTGCTATTAGCTATTGGTGATGGAAAGCCTTCGCTGTCTCCAACCCAAAGGCATCATGTAGATTAATGAAAACATGTTGAAAACCCATCAAAACCTCCATAGGAAGAGGGTTTAACAATCCAAACAGGTGCAGTAAGGTTGTCCAGATTCTACATCCGAGCGATCGAAGGAGGGCTCCAGATCGGTGGATGGCGCCTGTTTGGCCCCTGGGGGTCAATGTGGGCATATATGGCAGTCCCATGGAGTGTCTGGGCATTATTGCCCATGGTTATACAAGGGGTGTCCTAAAAAAAAAAAAGGAACCCAACTCCCGTCAGTCCTGGATGGTCCTGGTCCGGTGTTGTGACTGCATTCTTGGCTTGCATGGACTGATGGTTTCCAGCGAGATCGAACTGCTCATGAAACCCGCAGCGGCGCCAACCAAAAAAAGGCACAGTCACAGCAAACTAACATGGAACCTCAGACTTGACCCGTGGCTTCGACCAGTTTCCCAATACCAACCCAGTGGTTTGGGGGTTCCATGTGGTTCTCAGACTCTCCATAGGTTCCCCACCCATTCTCCGGTCTTCCCCACTCTCGCTGAACCACCTGCGCTGGTCTTCTGGATGGTCTTTTGGACTCCCAGCGTCATGACAGCAGACCCCACGCCGTCGCGCGCGCGCCGCGACCGCGCGGCTTGAGCCTCTGCTTGGTGTGGTGATGCTGCACAATGCTGCTTGCTGCTGGAAATCCCGAAGAACTAGGATGCAAACGACTTCTTTCCCCCAAAAAAACGTCTGCAATTTACTGTGAACTGTGATCTGTCATGGAGGCAAAGTCTTGCCTCTACTTGGCTACAATTCCCGTTAGGGTGGAACCCAAACATGACCACAAGGATCAGGGACCAAAGAGCATGGAGGCCTCTCGAAACAAAACAGTATAGAATAGTATGAGCTCAGTACAGTACCTTGGCGTTGGTCGCGTTGGTATCTCGCACAAAATTCCGACACCACCTGCTCATGACCAGGGATGTTCCACAGACTGGCTGCGAAAACGAAACAGTCAATCAATCGTCAATGTGCAAATTTGGGATGCTTTGTACAATTGCAAAGGGAAAAAACCGCCTGGCTGCCTCAAACCTACAAAATCCTACAAAAAGGGCATGGCCAACAAGGAAGCGAACGGGGCAGAACAGCCGGACACCCAATTTCCCACCCCTTGATGAGTCCAGTTGAGCAACTCAAACACTGCATCAGCAACTCGCAACCCCCAAAAAAACAACCGCACTCAATAAGTAACTAGACGTCGACGGTTTCCTCTCTGAGTCCTGGAGTCCTACACCCTCGTTTTGCAGACCCGGGGCCTTATCAAGTCGCACGAGACCCCAATTGAATACAGTAACCTACCATGCATTGTACAAGAACTCTTCCTGGGGCCCGGAAGATCAGGGTGTTCCTCCAGATCTGGGTCCGGGAGAAGGACTTGCCAGGAACTACAATGTCATGAAGTTGGGTGTGCACTTAATGTAGTCAACTCCATGGCTTCACGCGGAACAAAAATAAACATGAGACAAAACCAAGGTGCTGTTAGAATCTCTCTCTGTCTCTCTGTATATATATATATATGCACACATCCCGTCTACGTCGAGCTTTCTTTGGCACATGTCCCCAAACAAGCAAGGTATTAAATATTATTATACCTATAATCTGCCATCAAACCGCACGCCGTTGATGGAGGGAACTTGCTGCGAACGTCCGTGCTCTCATCACTCTCACTCCAAATCGACTGAATGTTTCGAACAACCCATATGCCCGGTTGTGTATAAGCTAACATATGTATAGGCACATGGACGTATCAGTATAAGCTCTCTTATGTGTATATGCATAAGCTCCAAGAGTCCTTGGACTCATCAGGTGAAGGGAACAAAATAGTGCACGCCGTCAGTAACACCGAACGCTCCACCACAGCTTTCTTTCGTTCGTCCGGTCTAACGAACAGGGCGCTTGGCCCAGACTCATCTGCTTGGCTTCTGCGAGCCCCAGTGGCATTGATGTGATGTGACTGTTGAACTACTGGCCAGCCCAAAAACTCCTCGAAAAGGTCAGGGACTCCTTGGCTATCCCCGACTCCTACATCAAAGGCACAAAACAGCTAAAGTTACATACAGCTACCAACAACTCAGAGCTGACAAAGTCTTCAAGCAGATTCGCTGGCACCGGTAGCTACAGCTACCGTGCACCGTCTGACGTCTCATCCGCCGACGGCAGGCTGGAACAAAGTTGGGCAAACGGACGGGCACAAAGACTGGATTCGTTCAAGTTCCAAGATCCTGCAAGCATATGTGGCACTAGTGTGCTTGCTCTAAGTACGTCAACAACTAGTTTTAGTTGTGTTAGGCCTTCTTAGGCTGAGTTCATCTGGTGTCCAAGGTTTAAATAAACACCCAGCACATCGCCTCACGATATCCCGATCATTTCGCTCGCCCCACTATGCTCCTTGCATAGACCCATCTGGGCCCTGCAGTTTCTCATGTTCTTGCTGGGTGAGACACGAATTCAGCGCGAGCACGGCCCTGTGTGGGACTTTATGTCTACCCGCAGCTTTTCCGTAATCCATGCCACTGGCATGCCTGGCCACAGCTACTTTTGCGCCACCTTCTGCTGAATGCAGCAGGTGTTACCAACGAAAGTTCTTAATTCACATGATTTACTAATAATTTATGTATATTAAAATAACATCGTATATATTGGGTGGTTCACCAGGGACGCCCGGGGTTTTGGTTCCAAAGCCGCTTGGATGACCATGGCGTGCCAGTGGTGAGACAAGTTCAAGGGTGGCGCCACGAGTTTGGCAATAAGCGAGCCGATCTTAAGGTCGAAACAATGGGGCAAATGGCCTGACACCAAGAACCTGGATGGAACCCCGTCCGGCTTGTAGAAGGGTGCGGAAATCTGAGCTGCCCTGACGTTGACCAGTTACTTATATACCGAGGACCACAAAAATCCGACAAAAATCATCACCATCCATCATCTTCAATCCCCCACTCTTTCCCTTCAAACATTCAGGAAAAACACACTTCCATGGCAGGGTCTTTCAGAAATGCAACCGAAAAATCTTCGGATCCTTCGTATCGCGATGGATCGGACGGACTGCCCTGTCCCGGACTCGGAGTCGCGATCCGATCGACACTCGAAGGCGAGAGACGTGGATTTGGTGGGATGCATTCTCATCTCTCCATCTCTCCATCCGTGAAATCGAAGCACCAATTGAGGCAAAAGTACCAACTTGAAGCACAAACCGCCAAGCCTCACTTACTGTCGTTCTGCACTCGTCAGCCACAAAAAACATCGCCACGCGCCCTCACGGCCAGGGTGGGAATTCGCTGGTCACCCCATCTGCACCATCGGGGGATCTGCGCAGTGCGGCTGTGCGGGCTGTACACGCACAGGCTCTGCACCGCATCGGCCCTATGAAGCGTTAAGACGCGTCCTGCGTCCAGCGTCTACCAGCCTCAGCCCTGGTAACCGGCACGGACCAGGCCACGTGCTTTGGGGAACGCGGCATCATTCTCGTCCTCTATGGGATCCGGGGAGTGGAGAAAATTGGCACCCAACACTTGCTTCACTCCTGGCATGCGGACCGAGTCGAGAAAATGGGAAAGCGCTTGAAAGCGCTGTGGACACCGGTTGGTGTCAGCGCCTTTGACGTATTTTGGGGATTCCATCAAGTACTGTGGTTGGTAGTTTTGGGACTTCTTTGATGCAACTGGGTCCTGACATCTCCCTCTAGGTTCTCTACTCTTCTGGGAAAAGATTTTATCATCAAGCAACCATGGTACCCTGCACTTCAGGTTGCCAAAGCGAGTGGAACAATTCGTTTCCACTCTTCTTTAGTCGAAAGTCGTTTCAGTCAGTTTGGATTCCCCTGATTCCCTTGTTCATTGGGATACACAACAACGTAAATGCAAGGCTACAGCGTCATGACGACACTCTCCTGACACACTCTTCTCCACGGGCCACTGCTTTAACGGGAGAGCAATGGTAGAAAAACGACCTACCGCACACAATACTTGCAACATCTTGCAACATTGATCAATGCATCTTGCTTTGCTCTTGATGTGCGCAGCAATTCCTACATCTTCTTCATCCTCTTCCATCTTCGTGCCACAAACTCTCCGGTCTCTTCGTTTTCTGGTCTCGCGACGTCTTCTGAACTGCGACGGCAGCTGCCCAAACCACCGGCCTCGGCCCTTGCGCGAGGCCGTGCCCGGGCGGCCGGCCGACTTCACCCGCTGCTGCTTTCCTCCGTGGATCGAGGGATACGTTGGGAGGTTGGGCACCCCCTTTTCTGGGTGGATGAGTCAAGAAGGATGGTTAAAGCTTGGGAACCGCAAAGGAACAAAAACATCAAAAAACTACTGATAGGCCTCATGATGCCTCATGGGGCCATCTATCCTCCACGCCATGTCCAATTGGGCGATGAGGATCGATGATGGGGCGTGTCTCAAAGTCAAAACAAGCACATGACAAGATGTTCCGTCTCTATAGAACATTATCAGATTGCTCTTCTGAGACTTAATCAGGCTGCATTTCCTTCAGCCAACACCTCCACATAGAGAGATGCAAAATATGCAACCTGAAATAACATCACACCGAAGGTGAACAAATAAACAGTATTGTCCAACACTCTTTCTCCACTCTTTCACCACCTCATCGCCCACTCAGCTTGTGGCCATTCTTCTGCAGCTCAGTGGCCATTCTTCTGCGGCTGCGGGCGGGTCTCGGCGCGCTGCGCACCACCGTCCTCGGTGTAGGCGAAGTAGACCTGGGCGGCCCAGCAAAGGTCTGGCGTTTGACGGTACTCGCCATGCGTACTCGCCTGCGTGTGTTTCAAGTTGGGCCAGGTGTTCTGGAGGTCATCCAACCTAGAATGATCTTTAGGGTCCTGACTCCCAAACATATGAAGTACACCACCAAACCATAGCAGTGTTAATTCACTACGAGTACTTGCTCCTGCTTGCTTTAGGTCCAACAGTTGGTCTAACATATCCAGCTGCCTGGAGTCTTGCCTTCTTGGAATTCTCTATGTTTCCCCTTACTCCCCCAGTCTGGTCTGGTGAGTATGGAGCCCATAGAAATCCCACCTATCTAATGCCCTGCCTTATTTATTACCTGTGTGTGTACCCTTATATAGATTCCGCGATACCCACAAGAGCACGATAGTGTTACAACCTTGACCAGCTAGCAGGTCGACATGCTTAAGGCCAAAGCAGAATTAAAGCAAGAAAACAACACAACAACAACAACGACAACAACAACAGCAAGGTACAAACAAAAACTACAGCCCCGTTACAACATATCTTGTTCCTTTCTCTCTACAAGGGGGTGGAAACAAAATCTGCAGCTCCGTCGCTGTTTCTTAGACCCCCTCGAAAACAACCACCCAGCATGTACTTTCACCAGTAGTGGTAGTGCTTGTACTGGTGCTAGTACTAGTGGTACTAGTACTAGTACTAGTAGTCGTTGTCGTAGTAGTCGTAGGAGTAGTAGTAGTAGTAGTAGCAGCACCAGCAGCAGGAGGAGGAGGAGGAGGAGGAGGAGGAGTAGTAGTAGTAGTAGTAGTATGCAGCCCTGTTGTTGTTCTTTGACCCCCCCAGAACAACACCCCAAAAAACAAGAAACTTACCAACCAAGACTTGAGTACCACAACGACAAGAAGTCCAGCTACTAACATCTCTCCAAACCTTCGACCCTATCCCTAACAGTGTGTGTCCCTTTGAAATCCTTGACTTGCAAAATGTGACAACTGTGTTGGGCAGCTGTTTTTGTCCCTACCAACAACAACACCAGCAGCAGTAGCAGCATCAGCAGCAACAACAACAGCTTGAGACCATCGTCCTGATTCGTGGACCAATCTCTCCACCGCTCATCCGCCCCTTTCGCTGCAGGGCACGTTGGGGCGTTCGTTCATCATCGCCACCGGATCCGGGCTTCCCTCGCCATTGGTCCGGCGGCCCATGCCCTTGGGACTCTCGTCCAGCAGGCGGCCGCGCCGGCGCACCCGGTTGCCCGCGAGGTCGATGTTGCCTGGGCCATGGAGGGGCTTCGCCACTCGGGGAGGGCGACACGCACACAGGTCAAAAGGATTCAAAAGGCGCAAAGATTGGACCAAAGGGTCAACGTATGATCAGAAGGGAAGGGGCCTATGTATTCTAAATCGTAGTCATTCCTTTCCTTACAGGGCTCTAGCCATTCCCAGCCCAACTCACTCTTTGCACCCCAACTTAAGAGGAAGGTGGAGGAATAGCTTCTTCAGATGTCACAAGCTCTGCTCCCTTCCTATCCTTCCTAACAAGATCGAACCAGTTCGATCAAGCAATGATGTAACTGTTTGGACTCGTCGAGGGGGTCGATGTGGCATCGATCCCGCTTGGGGGTTATCCCTCTTTTGCAACAAATTATGAGTCAAAGGGGCCATCTATGCTACCAAGTGTCTCATTGGTCTTTTGGCTCTAAGCTGCACAGTTGGACAACACAAAACCATGCGGGAGGAAACGGTGTTTAAATCGATCTTCTAGGGTTTGCGACTTCAAATGTTTTGTCCTGAATGCATCGGAATCCCAGTGAAAGATCTAGCAAGTGAATTCCTCCTTTTTCCAGCACGTCCTCCTCACAACTGGCCCTCACCTGGCCTGCACATCTTAGATCCTGCCGGCTCCAGTGGCTTTCAGAGTTCACAACGACGTGTAAATCCAACTGCAGCTGGTCCCAAAACCACTCGGCCGAGCGGCTAATGACCCACTCGTCAGAGCTCTCGTCAAAGTGGGCTCTTTGTTCAATCTGCTGGTACTGCTCCATGGGGATAAAATTCTCGATGGTAAGGCAAACCAACCTGATCAACTATCGAGCGCGAGCCGCTCTCCTCGCGTTCTCTCTCTCTCTCTCTGCCTCTCTCTCTGTTCTGGTTGGTCTTGTTTGCCACCCACCTACAAGTATTGGGTCTTGCCGGTCTTGCATTGCTTACTTTTGAAGATGACAGTTCCCATAACCTGAAGAACTACATTATACATACATATACACAGTATATATATTCTTATATATTCTTTATAGACCATATACTATATGTATATTATCGTTTGTGGCACAGGTTCAAAAAATGACACCATTTAGTCTTCTATCTCGGATATGTATCTGCAGGCGTCTCTCCGTCTGTCCTTCTCTCTCTCTCTCTGTTTAACAGTCAGTAGCAACTCTGCTTTAGACCGATCATTGGGACAGTATGTTTATCTCATTTTCCCCAGCATTCCCCATGATGCTAGCTGCTAGCTGCTAAACTACAATTCCACCCGCTAAACCATCAAGTGGGCATGTTTGGACAGTCTCGCGAGACCTGAATGTATTGAAACAAGGACCAGGAACACTCGATTGTAGATTATATCATATCAGGGAAATTGCACTCGGAACAGCAACAACCTTTTGTTGTTCAAATCCTCGTAGGCAGCGTTGCCTGAGGATCACTGGGATCTGATGTGCAAAAAACGGCACTCATTGTTTTCATTGAACCAGAAGAACTCATCTTCTTCGCCAGCTGCAAAAAAAAACTTCGAAAACGGCCAAGCCAATAACAAACACGGAAAAAACACCCTCCGACGAAGCCAAACGTGGAAGCAATGGGAGCAACTGTTCGTAGCCGAGGAGCTTCACTTCTTTCCGCAGGTCGCGAATGGTATCGAGCATATCTTCTCTTTCCTCTGAATAGAGCAGGTCACGACAGGGCCATCCTTGGAGCTCCCACCTGCGGCCTATCTTCCTCTCCCCCCTTAAACTTTCTATGGTCGTAGTATGTCCTAGTGTCAAAGGAAATGGGATGCCGCATCATATGTAGAATATTGAGTAGTGAACTATATTGAACTCACTCTTAACATTGCTTCACCATGGTTTTGGGACCTGCGCTTGAAAGCCTCCAAAACCAGATTCCCAGTTCTTTACAGTGGCCTTGTGTCTGAAGAAGGTCACTGACCTGGGCCTAACAAAGGTCTTTTTTCCAGATGCTTTTTAAGCTGCTTGAGTCTTTATGCCGTCCAGTCGAGCGTTTCTGAAAACCTTGATGAAATCCCATGTCGTATCATTGGGCTTACGCTTATGCTTACGCTGCCTTACGCGACTCACATGTTTGCTTACGCGGTACACTTGGAGCAAGAAGGGCTTACGCAGACCTTACGCAACGCCTGTCTCGCACAAAATGCAGCTGACACCACAACGCGAGCTTACGCGCTGCATACTTTGTACAATGGACATTTACTACACCTAATCTTCGGATATGGATGCTGAAGAAGCACTTGAGGATGAGGACGAAGAAGAAGGCTCGAAGGCAGAAGCAACCAAGCAGCAGCAGCAGCAGCACCAGCAGCAGTAGCAGACCAGCAGCAGACCAGCAGCAGACCAGCAGCAGCACAGCAGCAGCAGCAGCAGCAGCAGCAGCAGACTAGCAGCAGAAGACCTGCAGCAGCAGACCTGCAGCAGCAGCAGCAGCAGCAGGAAGTGGAGAAGTGGAAGTGGAAGGGCGATGCGCGCAAACCACATTGTATATATATAGAGGTCTTCAACCACACGCTGCCGCTGACGCAACGGTTTCGGAGAAGGAGGCATATAGGCATGTGGGCTACTGGTGGAAAAGGACACCGGAGCTTACGCGGAGCTTACGCGGAGCTTACGCGCGGCTTACGCGCTGGAACTCACAAAAAACACCTGGAGTTTCTCATGTCTGACATGGAGGTTTGACTGTTCAGCTGTGGTGTTTGGACTGTCTGTGTTCAGCAATTCGAGTTTGGATTGTCTATATATGTATGTGTGGAGTTGGACTGTTCCTTAGTCCTAGCACTTCTGAGAGGGGTTGCTCATGTATTTGTCATGTATTTCTTCAAAGCTTACGCATGGCTTACGCAAAAGGTTTCCTTACAAAAAGCTTACGCAACCTTACGCGCATGCAGGTTTTGCTTACGCACAACTTCGATATGACAACACACTGATTAAACATGAACACGGAGGTTTATCGAATGGCTCAGTTGGACTATGCTTAGCCCCCACCCTGGAGCACCGGTACCCCAAAACCACCGTAGATCTGTGGAGCTCCGCCCAGTTGTCTCGTCTCGTTGGAGCTCCGCCGAGCGGCGCTTTGAAACTCGTGCTGCAGGTCTTGGACCTCCTGTTGCGTTTGCCTCAGCTCAGTCCGCGGGTTAGGAGACTCCACCAGGTGGCTATCACATATCCCTTCAAAATGGATTTGATGCATGTTGGTGACTATCATATCTCTAGAAACGACTGACATCCGTTCAATGCTTCAAGTTTGGGATCAACCACTTCCTTCCTGCATTCAACCCGTCGAGTCTCTGCACATCTCTGCACTCACTTGGTAACACATAATGGCCGCCATGGCCCTGTCCTCGCCGGGTGGCTTGTGCCGATGCCAAAGCTTCTCCAGCTTGGCAGTCATCTTCTGCACCTGAGCAGAACTTGGAACACCTCCGCAGTAGTCAAAGGAGACCGATGGTAGAGCCTTCAGGAAGACCGACAGTCGTTAGGACTTATGGACTCATCCGGTCCAAGTATATATCAATCAGTAGTTTTCAGCCAGAACTCCTGCGATGTTTGTTGACATCGACCTGGAATCAACATGCCAGCGGAAGTGGCCCCGAAAGGATTACCATTTTACTGTACAAACAGGTGGTTCTCTTATGTCAAAGAATTTGAGGAAAGCATGATTGCGATACCGATATCCGATATCCTGTACTTGCACATCGTGCGAAATAAGTTCGTGCAAGTCGTCAGCTTGTCCCAGCCCCGGACTTGATAACGTAATCAAATTTCATCAGGCCTGTTCCTCAGTGGAGGCGTACTTCTCTTCCAGCTCCAACTTCTCCTCCTGCTGCTGCTCCAACTCCTCCTGCCTCAATATTGCATTGTATTATGCGTTGTATTATGTTGAGGGAAGCTTAGCATTGGACATAACAAAATAGGACACACATTAGGGAGCATTGGAACAAAAAGTGCAAACACATAAAAACATAAACAAAACAAAGGGTAAACATAACGCAGCCATAGTGCAATACGGATCATAGCTTAGGGGAGGGGACGGGAAAGGCACCCTATCTATGTCGTATTAGGTTTTCCTATTTTTGCCTAATCTGTTCGAGGTTCCGGCGAAATGTGCCGTTTCCAGACAACGTTGGCTGCTAATTTTGGGGACCCGGCCCAGAACCCAGGTGCGGCCTAGACTCCCGGCCTCTCAGGTCTGAATCCTCTGAATCCTCACACCCCCCACCAAAGCCTGGATTCCCTGTCAGGTGTAGTGTAAGAGCTGGCTTCAACAAATGTCTTTCCATCCGGGTGAACAGCCCAGGGGTGCCAGCTGAAGGTGCAAAGTTAGCAGCATGCTTCAGCAACCGTGCTGGAGGCTTGTCGGTGCCTTTTTGCAGTGCACTCCTGTGTCCCTTGCTCCCACTCCACGCCCCTGCGGATGTGGCATCCCGGCGAGGCGCATCCGCTGCTCTTCCCGCTTCTTCTCTTCCACCTCCATGGCAGCCCGGCGCAAATCAGCTTCCTGCCTCGCATGCGGAAGAGCTGATGGATGTGAACGCACCATCCTATAGTATATGCATGTATATACAGTGGTCTTTGTGACTCCCTTCAGCACGCACATTCATGTGGAAATCTCACTGCATATATGCGTGCAAAACATAAAAATAAAGCACAAAATGATATATGACACGTATTTATACAGAACACCGTCAGGGACGGTCAAAACTCCTACAAAAAATGGACGTCATCGGTTTTGAGTTGGACCTTATCGTTTTAGAATGTTTTGAGTTCGTCGCATACTTATGATCATATACAGCGCTGGGGTTGTCGGTTTTGAGGTGGACCTTATCGTTTTGCAGGGTTTTGTGCACAAACCTGCCCCTCTTTACTAAAGTGGTCTTCGCATGTTTTGACCGTGGCTCATATGTTTATACACCTATATTATTTGCACAATGCGTCCATGTATATATATATATACATATGCACATGCATTTGTAAAACCCAATCGCGCCTCCGTTGTTTATAGTAAACTGGCGGCCCAGGGCTTTAGGTTGCAAATAGAATAAACGACCGCTCGCTTAGAATATCTTAGAATATACATTCTAAGTGCAATAACCAACCACGCATACCTCGGCATGTTTCCCTCCCAATAAAGTCGGAGATGAAGCCTCATGCTTATTTATATACGGTAAGTGCGACTAGATTGGCTCAATCAGTATATATTCTATATAAGTGTGTGTGCACACTCTATGTGGATGCGGGGATGTTTCTATCTGCACGTCCGGGGACACATGGACAAGCGACCCGGGGACATATATGGAGCTAAACGGAAATACTTTACAGTTTTCATGAGTGTTCACTTGTGGAGCAACAAGCTCCAGTGATCAACTCGCTGACTCGCTCAGTTGATCAACCTGTGAAGGGACCGAAGGGATGTACAGCATCCTTACACAACCAAAAACAGAACCGAGTCGGCGATTCCTCAAATGCTTGCCGTGATGACATCAAGCACACGGGAGTTCTCCCCAATCCGAACCTAAAGAACGCTTTTTCGATGCCAAACACCCCTGAAGGCTGCTTGCCAAAGCACTGCATTGCTTTCTCCATAACTTGGCTCCCCACCAGCATCTTCTCCTCCATGGCCTGCATGTCAGCAAAATATGAACTAAATTGCATGAAAGCAGGGCAAGCCCCGTGAGTCCTGCTCGACCCGACCAAAAGGTTTTTTTTTGGGGGGTTCTATGCTTTACATCTATTTTTGGTTTAAACTAAACTAAACGATTGTTAACTGTTATGTTTGTTTTTTTTTTGGGGGGGGTTGTGCCTCTTGCAAATGCAGTCTTCATAAGGATTTCATGAGGTCGAGGTCGGCCTTCTGAAGATTTGCTAGTGACATGACTTCCCATATAAGAAGCAGCATGACATGACCTCCAAACGCAGCAAAACGCAGTCGGGGACCTCCGACTGCGTAGCCCCCCAAAGAAACCATCAACAGTTCCACGAAAATGAAAAGGTTCCATGAGAAAAAACCATCTCCTGACTCCTCCTGACTCAAAGCGTTTTTGCCCGGCCTTTTGAGGCTCCGAGTGTGTTTCATCGCTCCCGGCGGGTTTCATCGCGTCGGGCCTTGAGCTGCTGGAGCATCTTCTCTTGCTGTTGGGCTTCCTGCTCTCGTTGCCGGCGCTTCTCTTCCAAGGCCTCCAGGAGCTGTTGCTTCTCCTGCTCTGCCATGTCCTCGCAATACCCCAAAAAAAGCAAGCAAGCAAGCAAGCAAACAACAGGGTATTTTTCTCGGGGGGCTATGTACGGGTTTTATATTAGTGTTGCGCATGCGGCAAAGACTTTGCTAAACATGAAGAAAGGATAGCTCGCAGTTTGTCTGGCAACATGGCGTAAATACAATCATCAATGGCCTGCCCTGTAGCCCTTCGTCACATTTACCAACCAATTCACAATGTCTAAGTCTAAGTTCTTAGCAAGTCTATGCAAGTCTAATCTTCGCATCAGGCGGCAGCCCTAGTAGCACGGTGTTCATCCTTGATCTATTGGATTGCTGGAGCAGGCCATTTTTTGAAGTGTGATTTTGACCAACCCTCTTGTGGAAAAGGAACTTTCCCAATAATGTAGATGCTTGATTTAATAAACTCCCCGAAGAGGTGTTTCAATCCAAATGGGTCTACATTACATACACCTCATATCACCTCGTCTGAGTGCAACGGCCGCCATATTCGACCTCCCCGTTTGCTCCCCCCAAAAAGACCGAACTGGACATGACTGGACATAAGTGGGTCCTTCTGTGCTTCAATAGCTTGCCTCTCCAGGTTGAGCTGCTCCTCCACTTCTGCTCTCTCCTGCTCAACCTGTCGGGAGCATGTGGGAACCTGTCGGTGTTGTTCCGTTCCCCTTGGTCCTTCTTCCAGATCTTTGGGGGGTCTATGGCACACGTGCCTACTCTCGATGCGTGCGTGACCCACTCTCTTCCCCCGTTTCCACATGTTTCCACCATGCCTACCATTCTTTGCCACCCCTCTTTCTGCAATTGGAGTGCAAGCCAATATGTTTTTTGACATATCCTGACGATGCTGAAACCGCAGCCCGCCCACGTTCTTTTTCCCCAGCCGTCCTCAACCGGCTTGCCGACAAAAGGTACAATGACAATCTGAAAAATTAGAAGGGAACATCTCAAATGCTCACAAGCTAAACTTATAAACATGTTTAAACCCTCATGAGAACACCCTCCCAACCACGACGCTCGACCCCCACCGCTCGAACCCCACCCCAAAATACCCCAAATGGATTCGTCGCCCCCAATCCGTGGTTGGGTCGAAACACGATTCGACGCACCGGTCGTGTCCGTCGCCTGCATCTGCAATCGTCGAACATCCTCGTCGGTCATGCCTGCGTCGCTCGTCGTGACACACGAGGTACGCGCGACGAGGGACGACGTAAGACGTCCCGTCGTCCCGTCGTCTGGACACTCACCGGACCAATCTTGCCACCCAAGGGATCTTACACACTTCTGGCCACGAGGTGCAGAATTTTTGAAGGCACTTTCTTTTTGGTTGTAGTTTACAGTAGTATTGGAGGCTCCAGCTGGGCTTGATTAATAGGGGGGGTTGGTTAATCCTAGGTGCGCATTAGTTATAAGATCTTTTTTGAATCTGTGATCTGCGGAAAGGTCCGGCCTTAGTGTTTGATCCAAGCACATCCCAAAAACCCTTTAACGAAAGAAAACTCGCACGTCCACCGCATCTCCAATGACTGGCCGTGATCTGCCCAACAAACTCGAAAGAAAACACTCTCGGATCACTCCGCGATGGATCGGCATCAACTATGACCGGATTGCGAGGGAGACAAGCATCTTACTAAGGGAAGGCTACAAGGAGGAATCACCCATTCTCCCTCTCTCATGCTAGCGGCTAAGTCCATCACTTAGTCAATCATGAAACCCAACATGTCAACATGTTGGGAGCTTCACTTGTCCTGATTGTTCTGTCCACACATCTCGAAGAATTTCAGCGTCTTTTAATATATGACATGCCTTGTTCGGCACCAGTTGGCCTGAATTCACCACCTTCTCCACCAAAACCTCCTTCTCAACAATCCTCAGGTCTGGCGAAATCGCAGTTATTCACGTGAGTAACCACGACACATCACGCAACACGCGCAGATTAAACCTTGCCTCCTTCCCTTCGGCCTACTGGGGTCGACTCTAAACAACCGGAGGGATGCGGTTCTGCCAGCAGTGATCAGCCTATGCGTTCTCTTGTGCGCAAGGGGCAAAACACGCAGTCATATTAAATCGATAGGCAACCGCAGTTCGGAAACTTCAACATCACGGTCCCAAGGCTCTATACAAGGTCCCCTTCATCCCGTGAATGTTGTATAGCACATTATAGCACTTTCATCAATATCCCAATCTCGGGGGTCTGCGCCTCGAGAACTTCAGGTGAGTCTTCAGGTGCATCCCTGGGTCGTTGGGAACAAAGGAGGCGCTATAAGGCGCTACAAGTAGGAGTTTCTTGAATCTCTACATTCTCTTTCCCTCTGTGAGGACTTGCGCCCCTGTCACAACCTGGAGAATCCATCCAGAACTCTACCCCCCTCGCAGCCCACTCGAGCCAACGTGTATACTCTGCCCATACCTCTCCGCCCGTACCTGCCCGTACTCGACTCTGATCCCATCGGGCCCAGGGTCTTTTCGACTTCCACCACTTCGGTTTCCACCACCACTTCCTCGCCCTCCATCGGCGGGGCTCTCGGCGGGCTGCCGGGACCCCCACGCTTCTCCTGGAGCGCTCCAGCGATTCGCTCTGGGCAGGTGAGTTGATCAAAGGTGTGGTTGACTCACTGGTGGGTGGATGGGCTCAACACGGCGCAGGCAACGCACGTCCCCAAGCCAGGGCGGTGCATTGAGTCGTTGTTTTGGACGTCCGGTATCGTTTTCCAAGGAAAAGTCGAAATCACAAGCTTGGATGAAGCGCCCTGGTATAAAGTATTATAAAGTGAGTATCATTTAGTGAATGTACATCGCGGCATTATTGGAAACAACTTGTATAACATCATATAACTGTCGGTTCTGTTGTGCACGTTGGTCAGGTACAGTGGCTGGCCCAAATCAGTGCAAAAGACAGCATGTCTTGGAAGACATGTCCTAAGCCGTTGAATTGGCAGCCAGTTTCCGTGGCTTCCTTTATCTTTTGCTGACCTATCTGGCCTGGACAAATGACTGGTATAGATCCCTGGATTGCCTAGTAAATCTGAGATAACTGGTACAACATGGTACAAATACCTGGCGCTGGGGTTTAGTCACGCGGGTTTGCAGAAAGTCACCCGGCCGCATGTAAACGCAGCATTATATAGTCAAAAGTCACCCGGCTCGCTAAAAGTCACCCGCTTTATGTTAAAACATGTTAAAACACAATGTAAACGCTCTACGCAAGATTAGCATCAAACATAGATGCAGCATGCTGAGACTACACGAATCTTTTCTACTTGCTCTGACCCGGCTCAAATGGATTTGAATGAGTCGGAAACATGGCTACACTGGCGCGAGTGCCATGCGAGTCTTTTCGAACCTGACGCGAGTGCCGCGCGAGTCGAGGTATCCACCTACCCACGTCGATTATCTTCAAATCACTTTTTGGTCACCTTCCCTCTAACCTGCATGTAAACGCAGCATCCAAACAATGTTGTTGACCAAACACTCTTCCAGTTATATTGCCATCTGGCGCCTAACCCCATTGTAAACGCAACATCCAAACGACTTTCTACAAGACCAGACGACTTAACACAGGTACTAGTATATATCTGGTATGCAATGTATCCCAAAGGTCCCTCATGAACAGTTGACGTTCTTTGAAGAAAAAATATGCTCGATTTGGACGGTCGTTCTTTTGCTATCGCCAAGAGTCCAGTTGCATCTTCAGTCGGGTGATCTCATCTTGGAACTCCCGGATCCTGAGGTCGTACCGACGTCGTTCCCGACACGAGAGGCACCAAACGGTGCTCGGCACGAGCTCAGTCACGAGCGAATTCTGGTGCTGAAAAATGGCGCACACGAAGGCACGAGCTGTTGAAATGCCACCTGCTCTGTCTACCCTACACTTCCTGTGACATTCCCCAAGATTGCCCGCATCGCCCAAGACATCGCCATGCACAACAAGCGACATGGCATCCTTGGGATCTTCATTGATCCTGACAAGTGGGGCCAATGGCACCAACCGCTGTCTGTTGAATGGTACCATGGCTAGCCCTTGGGACCATGGGAATCGGTGTGTTTCTTTTGATCATTTGGTACTCTTCGATGTTGGTGCAGCACAAGTGCTGAACCAGCTTCTCAAGACCGTTTGTGTGTTCACTAAAGCAATGAAGTTCATGCCTAAAGGTTAAGGGTTTTTCCCACCCACCAAAACAATCTGACACTGCAAAAACCACAGCTTGAACCTCAAAATGCATCTGTCCCATGGGCGTTGTGGCTTAGCCCAACTACTGGCACGTCGCTGGCACATCTGGCACGTCCTGGGCTTGTTCTTGATGCTCTTCGCTCGATGGGCATATCGCAGAGTGCTCATGGTCTCGTCGTAATTGTAGTCCACGGGGCCGATGCACGTGCACATCACCGTCTTGGTGTTGCCGCCCAAGGAGTCCTGGACTGGAGCCGGCGAGTACCCTGTACCGCCCGCTTGCCCGGTCGCCGAACGGTGTGCAAGGCTAATTGAATGGAAGAAATGAGGAAATGTGTCTCTTGAGATCATCTCTTGCCAAAACCATCCAAAACGCATCCGTGCTATGCTGTGTTTGTGTTCAGGCAGTTGTTTCCGCGCCGGTGCGATGGTCATTTGGCTGACCGAAAATGGAGTTAAGTCCTGTGCCACGTTCGGAGTTCGGCGTGTGCAAAGCGGCATCCTGTTGGACCCACTTTTTCAAGATTGAACAGTTGTGGTTCAATCTGGAATAGAGTTAGGATGTAAGTCTAAACTAAAATGATTTGCTCGATAAACCCAGAAACGAAGTCGAAAAACATGATGAATGGAGGAATGAAGTCAAGCTTGATGTAAGTCCTATGCTTGACATGCTTGACTTCCGGGTGCATGAGGTCAGCAGCGACTCAGGCTCACCACAAGACTTACACTGTCTTACACCGGCCCCAAAAGCAACACAATAGGACGAAGGACCTACCTGGTTGAGGAAAGGAAAAGGCGTGTTCCAAAGCTGACCCTGGAAAGTTCTCTCAGAACTTCTATCAAAGAGAACCCGATTTCGCTGTCCATGTGGAACAAACCACAGCAGTTTTTTCGGAAATCACCCCACAACAGTTTTTAATAGTAACATCAACATGGGCAAACAAGTCACTGCCTCGAAACCAGCCAGACCAGCACCCCACCAAGTGATCTAAAGTGAATTAAAGGAAAAACCGTCCATAGCCGTCCTGCAGCAGCCGGGTGAGCTTGGAGTCTCTGTAGGGGATGAAGGAGGTCTTGGCATCTACCAGGGCGGAGATCACGTTGCCCAAGGCACTCAAAGACATGTTGATCTTGGTCGCCTCCTAGACAGGGAGACAAAAGTACGCAGGCAGCCAAATGCCGGTGGATGGGCTCAGCCATCCACGAAGAACGCATTGTGGCAAGGTCATAGTTAGTTCCACATCCTACTAAGGTTACATGCGGTTATTATGGATATCATGGGCCATAGCGGTGACAACCTGCATCCAACCTGGACACAAGTAAATGAAATGTCTGGAACAGTGACAACCAGGCTCAACAAAAAGGCGAACATGTCTTGTCCCACCGTGCCTTTCGAAGCTCTCTAGGTAAAGCCCTTCAACATCGAGAATAACTCAGGGAAATCTCATCCCACTCAGTGTGCTAACTATGCGACTTACATCTGATTACACTCATCCAACCATATCCAACCTGATTGCCCCAACAGATCGGCTACCCCTCCCGCCCTCTTTTCAATCCCAGGTCACAACCCGTCATCCTCGGTGTCACGGTGCTCTCCCCTCCCCATCGTCCTCGCCTTCAAGGTGTCGCCAGTGGCGCCAGTTTTGCTCTGCCGCTCCGAGCCTGCCAGGTCCACCATGTTCATCTTTCCCACGCGCACGTGGTCCTGCCCATCCAGGCCTGGCGCCGCGCCACAGCTCGGTCGAAGCGGCTCGGTGGGTCGAAGCACCGGTGGACGGGCGGTTTTGTTTGGGGGTATATGTTTTCATGATTTTCATGGTTTTGCGGTGGGAGCGAATGGACAAAGGAGTATAAATAAGGTGAACGGCCGTTGAACGGTGAAGATGCATACAGTCAGTAGGCACAATTTGGCACACTACCAACCAAAGCACTCGTGGAGTTGTGAGTTCCCCACCCCCATCTCTTTTCTTTTGCATTACAAGTTACAAGTATTAACAACTACTGTCATTGCCTACCCAGGCACACCACATTGCAGATGATGAACCATGGCATGCTCTCAGCTAGACTGTCCGGATCCGGATCTATTCTGAGCTCGATGATCCAAAAGGATATTCTCAATGTGTCGGGAGATCACCGTTGTCTCCCCAACAAATATGAACATGATATGAAGCCTTTGACCGTTCCGCTATGGTGTGAGATGCATGCAGTTTGTTCTTCCCAAATGCTCTTGGCCTCGAACCAAACCCTGTCCAGGTGACTCCAACACTTGCAAAACCAGTGTTGCCTTTCTCCAAGATCTCAACGGTCACAGTGAAGATGGAGTGGGAGCGACTGGACTCGTTGTTCATTAAGGTGCTGGCCACACTCCGGTTCTTCTGGCCAACCTGGATGTAGAATCCATACAACGCCAACAGTGGGATGGGCTTGGATGGGCTTGGGCATTTCACTGAAATATCTGAAATACCTCTTTGACCTATTGTTTCGATCTCAAAGTCGGGTGGTGGTGACCACGAGATTGTGATGTGTTGATGTGTTGTGGCTGCTAATGGGCATGCAACTTGCAGTCAACAGCTCATGATAACAAACACTTTATCCAGCAAGTTAACCTGATAACAAACCATTTCTCTAGCAGCTTTACCTGGAATTCTGCTCAAGGTGGTTGATGGCCACCCTACAACAAAATTCGACAAACACGATGGCTCCAGCTGCAGTGTTTGTTGGTACTTGATGCTCTTAGCGTTCAGGCATCCAAACCAACACCACTACTCGTCTAAAAACTTTGCCTAAATCGGAACAAACCACCGTCGGGTTACGGGTTGGCTTCTGTCGTTGATCTACTAATTACGAGGCAATAATTGCGCTTTCAAGTTGCAAGCCCGGCTACGAGGTCCACACTGCAGTCTGCTGCATGCTCAGCCCTGCATGCTCAACCGGCATCACCCGGCCTCCATGACTTGTTGAAGGTCCCGCACGCCCTTGACGATCATGACCTATTTGCATTGTGTGCACGTGCGACGTGGGGACGTTTCTGTGTGTGGTTTCGTGCTTTCAATGGTGTTCTTCTTGCTGCAAATTGCATGCTTCTTGGCTTGCAGTTCATTCAAGGGTACATAATTACGCTGATCAAAATGAACAAAAAGTAGCTGAAATCTCTCACCATAACAACCAACTAACCGGAGAGGCCAGCAAATGTCTATAGTAAATGGAACCTGATGAAACAAAGTGCAGCTAGCATCCTGCAATCAAAGTGACTGCATCGCCGCCCAGCCCAAGCGATTGATGTCAAAATATTTCAACAGGGTCATCCACTTGGAGTCACAACACTTTTTGAGAAAAGGAACATGTGCCACCTAAAGGGCACCCCCAATAGAGGGTCCTTCATCTCCTCAATTGACTGTCTTGAGGCCTCAAGTCACCTGAAACCGTCGAAGAATGCCTCACTTGGGGGTAGCGGGTAGCTCATTTGTATTCATTACTATATAGATTATGATCATTACTAATAATATTAATAATAGTAGCAGCAGCAGTAGTATGCGTGATCTTTATATTTCTTTAAACATCTTTCAACAACAAACATCAAATGATATACATTCTCGTTCTCGGTCCGCGGTCCGATCCAGGACGGTCCGATCCAGGTCGCTGTGAGGTCCTTGACATAGACCCCACCGTCAGGGTGATCCTGGTCCGGTCGCAGGGTCCGCTGGTCCGGGTTAACAGGACGGATCATGGCAGACTGCCAGGGCATCTTCCCATTAACCAGGGCCCAGTGGATGATAGAAGTAAGGTGTATATATATATATAGTCAATTGTAGCGGAAAAACTCCTATGTCCTTGATTGCCTGCCCAACCGCCTAAATCCTCGAAGTGTCAAGGAGGGCACCAGCATCATGATTTGGCGCTTTGTGGAAAGTCAATTTGACTTCCTGTGGCAAGTCCTTTGAATGTGCCTGAGCTCCTCACTACAGGAAAATTGCAGATTTATGGTGTAACTTCATATCCCAGCTACCTACAATTCTATTGCGACAAGTTGTAGAGATTGCAAAGATCTAGAAGAGCAATTTCCGCCGGTAAGGGTTTCACGTACGGTTCATTTTTGTACCTGAGAAGTTGCTACAGCTAGATAGCTAGCATCAGCTCGCCAGCTAGCATTGCTGGACTGGTTCCGAATACAGCAGGAACCTGTGCCGTCCGCTCCTTCAACTCCAGCTTCTGCTTCGGATTCTTCGAGAGAAGGTCTCGGATCCTCCGCCCGCCGCGGGTCTCGACAGAAGACGAAGGTCGTGCGCGGATGTGGAGTCAAAGGCGAAGGCGGTCGAAGTGCAGTGAGAAGGCGAATTCGTTTTCTCCTTGAACTTACTGTTCTCAAACAACTAGGGCATAAACAAATAGCTAAACGGATGCGTTATGGCCAAAACAATCAAACTGGGGCAGGGCTGCACAAGGAACATCAAGGAACTCTCCCCGGAAAAGCGGCAAACATCGGCCGAATGCCGGGTTAGACGACCAACGAAGGGTGCGGAAGATGGCCGGGCTATCAAAAAGAAAATAAATATAATAATATATATCAAAAACAAAATATCTCTCACAAAGAGCTGCGCCTGCCACTGCCAACTGGATGTCAGATTTCGTGGCGATTCAGCACTCTGAGCACCTCCAGTAGCAGATTTCGTGGCACACTGGAACTGCAGATTTCGTGGCAGGCGCAGCAGCACTTTGATCACCTCCAGTAGCAGGTTTCGTGGCAGGAGCGGCACTTTGTGCATTGGAAGTGCAAATTTGTGGCAGGCACAGCTCTTTGAACACCTCCACTAGCAGGTTTCGTGGCAGGAGCGGCACTTTGCACGCAGCGCTTTGAGCACCTTCAGTTGCAGGG